TTTGCCAGTGAGCATTTCTGTGTGGAGTTTGCATGTTCTCCCTGTGTTGGCGTTGGTTTCCTCCGGGTGCTCTGATTTCCCCCACAGTCTAAAGACATACGCTTTAGGTGAACTGAATAAACTAAATTGGCTGTAGTGAAAGAGTGTGTATGGGTGTTTCCCAATACTGGAACCTTTGAAATAGAGCCTAAGCCGAAAGAAAATGAATGAATGAATGAATGACCTGTGTGGAGACCTGGCAGGCAAAAACTATTGGTCGGTCGTAACTAGAGCTACACTGGGATCTCCTTAGAAACAAAACACAGACCAGCCATATTACCATCTGCTTTTTCTGTCTACTATGAGTATTTGGATGACATATCAACAGAATAAAACAGAGACATGACAAACTGTCAATTGTGATACATATTATGCACCCGTGCAGCTGTTTTTCAGTGATTTAAAACCCTCATGTCCCTGTCAGAGCTGTCAGAGCTACAATTGTAGATGTTTACATTTATCTTGTGGATATTCCTCAGCAATTTAATCATTGGTGTTGGTGTCATTGCGTGTGAGTGCCAATTTTTGCAGGGAACATGCGAGCTAGTTTTACACAATTCAGCACGAGTTTTATTACAAATGTGACCCTGGATAACAAAACCGGACATGACTTGATGTATTATCTTTAATTTGAATGAATAAGCAACAATCAAACAAACAAACAAAAATTAGTTTTTATATATATTTGGCAGGAAATTTACAAAACATTTTAATGAAACACATGATTTTTGCTCAATATTATAATGATTTTGAGCAAAAAAAGTGAATTATTTTGACCAATGTACTGTATTTTTACCTATTGGCAAAATATTCCTGTGCAACAAAAGAAAGTTTTGTGGTCCGGGGTCACAAATACATGTTCAAAGTCATTTAAAACAATTAACATGAACAAGAAAATACACGATCAAGTTCTGCTCACTTTAACCTCACTACATCCTATAACTTTCAGGTTTTATCAGGTCCGTTTGGGAAATGCACATATATTTTAAAGAGGACCTATTATGCCCCATTTTACGATATGTGAAATATTGTTTAATAGGTCCCCTTTAAATTACCCAAGACCTGAAACCACTTATACTGAACTCCAGCCATGTCTGACCTAGTGGAACAAAGTGGACCTGTGAAGATCTCTACAGTACACTAAAGCATACGTAATGATAGAACTTGATAAAATGGTTTCAGATAACATGATATTTTGGTGTGGATTAAATAATGCATAGGCCTGTCTCAGTGAGTCTTGAAACGTTTAAGTTGTTGCTACTTCTTTACAGAACATTGTCAGACATTTTATTTATTTATTTGTTTTTATTTAAGTTTTTATTGCAGAGAGATACAATTCACAGCATCGGTAGACATACAGTTGAAGTCAGAATTATTCGCCCCCTTTCGATTTTTATTTTCTTTTTTAAATATTTCCCAAATGATGTTTAACAGAGCAAGGAAATTTTCACAGTATGTCTGATAATGTTTTTTCTTCTGGAGAAAGTCTTATTTGTTTTATTTCGGCTAGAATAAAAGCAGTTATTAATTTTTAAAAAAACATTTTTGGGACAAACTTATTAGCCCCTTTAAGCTAATTTTTTTTTCCGATAATCTACAGAACAAACCATTGTTATACAATAACTTGCCTAATTACCCTAACCTGCTTAGTTCACCTTATTAGCCTAGTTAAGCCTTTTAATGTCACTTTAAGCTGTATAGAAGTGTCTTGAAGAATAGAGCATACGCTCCATGTTACGGGCTGATCTGGGTAAGCAGAATTGCCCGTAACATGAAGCTTATGCTCTATGTTATGTAAAATTTGAAGTCAGGTATGCATCTTTTCATCTTGGATTTATCTTTGATAATTTGATGTTTTGTATTGATCGTTTATTAATTGACTGATTGAATTGGCATAATACATTTACCTGACTAATAAATTGTTATGTTTGAACATATTTTGCTCACTCTGTAATTGTTAGTTCTAGTAGATTACGCTGTATCCTTGTTTCCGCACGTCTTGCGTCAGGTCAGTAGACGGACTAAAATCCAGTTGAGATGGAGCATTGGGCACACTAATTGTGTTTTAGGGATCCGACTGACTCTTGATATTGATTCATGTGTACTTAGGTGGAAAGGGCGATAACTTCCGTCTAGGACAACAAGGTGTTGCACGGCTAACCTACATTGGGTACCCGACCTTTGTTTGAAGGTAATATTATTCTAAATTAAGTTCATATGGGAAACCATGGGCTTGGTGAAAACCAAAGTTACTATAGAGTCCAGTAGTCGGGTACATTTATAATAATGCCCTAACCTCTAATTAGAAATGATGATTGTCTTAACTCAAGGGTGTACACCTAAGCGGGACTAACTAAAAGTATTTTAGAACGAGCGTGCTGGTAGCGGCCATCTAAAGTATTAGTCAATTACCTCTGTTTAATATTCAAGACTGACCAGAGTGTGACCGTGAGGGACGACTTCGGCCGAGGCGATTTCTCTGAGCGACATGAGCACCCGAATGAACGGATGTGATAGTTACTAGTGAAGACAAAAGGTTCAAACATTTATCTAAATTATATATTGATATAATCTTCTTAATGTTTTATAATTGGAGCCAGATAAACGATATAACGAGGATAAATATATTAATATTCTAAACCACCTCATACTAAAATTGGAGTCAGATATGAGTTAAGTTTAATATAAATCAACATTGTGCACTGGAAAGACCGAACATGCAGTGAACCTTCATCCACCAGTGGACACCGGCATTGGGCCAACTGGGTGGACCTTACACTATATACAGAAAAAAAGAGAATAAAAAAATAAATAAGGTGGGGAGGGGGGGGGGGGGGGTAAATAAGTCTTAAAAATTCTACATAAGAAAAACATTTGGTTGAATGGGAGTAATGTATTCAATCCATTTAAACCACAAGTCAACAAATATATCTGTTTGGTTGTGTACATTGTATGTTATTTTCTCCATAATGAATATATTTTTCAAAACATCTATCAAATCTTGTATTTGTGGTGGACTAGGCTTATACCAGCATCTAGTGATGGCTTTTTTACTTGAAGCAAGGATAATTCTATATATATATTTGTTTTTTTCTGTCCAAGGAGTCCATTGACAGCATGTCAAGGTAAAGTACCTCAAAGCTAAAATCAACTGAAAAATGTAAGATATATTCTAAAGTACCATGTATCCAGGGGCGGACTGGGACTAAAAATCAGCCCTGGCACTGCAGCCACACCAGCCCACATTACCACACCGACACAGCCCCACCCAAGGACACGCACATTCACTACTTAAATTTGTGTACAGATGGTAAAATGATATAAGCAGTACTTATTTAAGAGATATTTAAACATTTAATGTATGTGACTGAAACAAAAACAACCCATTTATATATGCAATCATGTCATTCATTTTCTTTTCGGCTTAGTCCCTTTATTAATCTGGGAATCGCCAACTTATCCTGCATATGTTTTATACAGTGGATGCCCTTAAAGCTGCTACCCATTACTGGGTTACCCAATTCCCAATTGGCCTACCCAATTCACCTACAGCATGTGTTTGGACTTGTGAAGGAAACCAGAAGGAAATCCACACGAACATTCAAACTCCACACAGAAACACCAACTGACCCAGATGAGGCTCAAACCAGCGACTTTCTTGCTGTGAGGCGACAGCACTACCTACTGCGCCACTGCACTGCCCCCTTTCGAGACTAGTTCAGTTAATTTTATGTAACTGGCAATGTCTGACTTGACTGCCTTTCCCTTTTATGGTCCATCTATGACTATTAGCTTGCGTTGCACTCACTGTTTGTTTGACATTCTTGCCAAATTTTGATTATGTCTGCGTAACCTCAGATTGGGTCGCCCCATCTCGAAACCTGCCATTGTTGCTGATTGGGCCAATGCTTAACATTTACAATTATTCTTACTATTATCACTATCATCATCATACTATTCACATCTCGCACGAGATAAAAGCTGCCTACATTGAAAAAAATAATACATATGAAAATAATAATAATAATAAAAATAGCTGAACGGCCCACATTTAAAAAATGGTCCGGCCCTTCTGGCTTTTGCCAGAAATGCCAGATGGCCAGTCCGCCCCTGCATGTATCTCTTTCCAAAAACCTCTAATATTAGGGCATCCCCAAAATATGTGGAAATGGTAAGCATCCTGAGAACCACAATGCCTCCAAAAATTTGAGTTTCCATGAAATGACATTTTCTGTTTTGGAGTAAGGAAAAAAACAAACAAACAAAAAAATTCCCAGCAAAATTCTCTCCAATATGAAGAACGGGAAGTAGCCCATTGTAATTTACATATATTTAGCCAATCCTCATTTGAGATGATAAAGCCACTTTCTTTCTCCCATCTTTCTTTAATGTACAGAGATGAATCCCCTTGTAGGTCCATCAGTGATTTATATAACTTATTATTAATTTAATATTTAATATTAATTTATTACCAGCTTGACCAGCCAGGTTTAAGCTGGACACCGCTGGTCTTGGCTGGTTAGGCTGGTCAAGCTGGTTTTAGCTGGTCATCTCCCAGCCTGACCAGCTTAGACCAGGCTGGAAATTGCTTTAAATCAGCCTGGAATGGCCAAAACCCCTCTAAAACCAGGCTGGTCAACCAATTAAAACCAGCCAACCAGCTTAGGTTGGTTTAAGCTGGATTTTTCAGCAGGGCTGGTCCAAGTATTGTGTGCCAACTTAAAGACTGTGCCACCTCGGCCAAACCAGGGCCATGTTTGGCCCACATGCTGTGTGCCAGTGCCGGATAAATGCTTGCTGTGCCAGAATTATGCCAAATCTGGGCCAGAATTCTTTGCTACCTGGGAAGGAGTTAATTCTGAAGTTATTTGAAGAAGATATAGAAAGAGTTTCATGTTTTAAGTTTTTAGGGGTAAGTTATGATGAGAAGCTCAGTTTTAAAGTACACATTGAGAAAATTGTGGATAAATGCAGGGAAGCACAGAATGTAATGAGATGTTTGCTGGGTAGAGCTGAAAGGGTTGCAATCATGGCCCACAATCCTAACCAGCAGGTGGCGGTAATGCACCTAGAAGTTGTATGCCAACCGCCAATAAAACTCGTGAGAAGAAGAATCCGCGTCGCCGCGATGACTTCAGCACTGACGCGTTCATTCAGCGTCGAGTCAACTGAGCTGAGGTGAGTTGTTCAAGCGTTTCTTGCGTTTACTCAACATTGAAAGCAAAGCTTGTGAAAGCATCAATCTACGAGTAATGTCTGCATCGAGTACACCTCTATCTGTGTATTTTGATCACCAAAACAGCACTACAGGGAGCGAGTAGTTCTGTGAGGAAAACACGACCTGCGTATTTGTTTATATCTGTAAGTGTGAGTTTTTATAGAGGTGAAGTTGGCTTTATATTCGGATATTCGTTCGTTCAGTCTCTATTTTGTTTACCATGTTACTTTGAATATTCGATCAGGATTAGCATGCAAGTGTGACTAATAAACAACATTAGCACTATCTAATGCACTGTAAACAATGCTGGATTTTGATAGTCATTAGCATTGAGGTAAAGTTGGTTTTATATTCGCACATTCGTTCATTTAGCAGTGTCTATATTGTTTACCATGTTACTTTGAATATTCAATGGGAATAAGCATGCAAGTATGACTTCTAAACAACATTAACACTATCTAATTCACTGTGAACAATGCTGGATTTTGATAGTCATTTGCTGCTAATATGATTTCCCTATCTACAATTTGTAAAGAATACTTTTCTGAAATATATATTATTAAGGAGACTGTCTGAATATCCAAATATAAAACCAACACTACCTCTATTATAGAGACTGCTAAATGAACGAATGTGCGAAAATAAAACCAACTTTTCCTCTTTTTCTCTGTGTAGAATGTGCAACGAATGCTTTTATTGAAAATGTAATATTAAAGAGAAAGTCTGGATGTTGTGAATATAAAACCCACTTTACCTCAATATAGATGTGTTGCTACTGTTAACAATCTACATTATAGAAAAATATTTCAATAAATTATATTCTTCTGATATTCATAACCTCAAGACTAAGATTCATTAAGAGAAATGCTGGAAACCACAACCAATAGAAGTAAAGTTGGTTTTATATTTGGATTTTCAGACATTCTCCTTAATAATATCATTTCAGAAAAGTATTCGTTGCAAATTTTAAATAGGGAAATCATATTAGCAGCCAATGACTATCAAAGTACAACATTGTTCACAGTCAAATAAACAGTGCTAATGTTGTTTTCAAGTCACACTTGCATGCTAATTCTGATCGAATATTCAAAGTAACATAGTAAACAATATAGAGACTGCTAAATGAATGAATGTGCGAATATAAAACCAACTTTACCTCTATACTTTTCCTCTATTTCTCTGTGTAGAATGTGCAACGAATGTTTTTATTAAAAATGTAATATTAAAGAGAAAGTCTGGATGTTGTGTATATAAAACCAACTTTACCTCAATATAGATGTGTTGCTACTGTTAACAATCTACGTTATAGAAAAATATTCTAATAAAGTATATTCTTCTGATATTCATAACCTCAAGACTAAGATTCATTAAGAGAAATGCTGGAAACCACAACAACAACCATGCTGAGATTAATCTTAGTGACTTATCAGTTTGTTTCACAGTCTGTGCTACTTGAAATTCATGTGTTTTACAGTCATGTTTTTGCCATTTACGTTTATTTTCCAAGCATTAGAATTATGTATGCTAAATTGTATTAGTAGTAAGAGAAGATAAGCTTTAGATATTCCCAGAGATGGGTTGCGGCTGGAAGGGCATCTGCTGCATAAAAACTTGCTGGATAAGTTGGCGGTTCATTCCGCTGTGGTGACCCCTGATTAATAAAGGGACTAAGCCGACAAGAAAATGAATGAATGAAGCTTTAGATAAGAGAGCTTAAAATAGATGATTAAAAAAACGTTTATTTAATTTTTTGTAAATTACATAATCACATATTGCATTACCACATACAAGATATAACATGATATGATTTATTAAATCTAAATTAAACTGATTTCTCTGTTTATTCTCTTGAAGCTCTGTGCCATCTTCACTGAAAGACGAAGACAGTTTGTTGAAGAACAGTGAGAAGATGAGTGATCCAGAACCCTGCCTAATTAAACAGGAAGACACTGAAGAAGAAATAGGTTTGTGTTTGTTCATTTTTTTCTCAATAATTAGGATGAGGAACAATAAGGTTGTTCATATTAAGGCGCTTCATCGGTTTTAGTTTTTTTTAGATGACCATTTATTATTCATATATCAAAGGTGCCATATAGTAAAAATATGGATATACCTTAACATATATGGATTCAAGAGATCACACTTGGCTGATGATTGATTATAAAGCTAGTTTGGCATGCTGTCCCGGGAGAGAGCCCTGAGCTCATAAGATCCTCGAGCCTGGGCCTTCCTCCCATTTGCAAGGCGAGAGGGGAGTTTGCATGCATGATATGCCAAAGCTGGAAGCATAATTTTAAGGACAAGTTATTTTGTATTTTATTTACATAAGTGGTGTTATTTACTTTAGTCATTGTTTTAAAACAATAAATGTAATTCTTTTAATTTTACTAAACATTGTCTACAATACCGGGATATAAGAGATATATCAAGGCTTAGTGAAAACGTACCGGGACATGAATTTTGGTCTATATCAGCCAGCCCAACTGCTTGCAGTGTGTTAGTTATGCGTGCCAAAAAAGTGAGTAAATACACTTACCAATTCATACATGCGATGTATAAATACATACGATGTGTGTGTGTGGTTTCACATCTTAAAGGCTGGTTTATACTTCTGCGTCAAGTGATTGCCATGACCCATAGCACATGCCTTGCTCGTAGCCGTGCTTTTATACTTCTGCATGCTGTAGTAACTGTTCCAAAACACTAGCTGGCAGTAGGTTATGTTATGCTCCTCTATATCGAGTTTCTTCACCAGCTTTATTTTTTCTGAACACTACCTTAATGTACAAGTAGGGTTGTAACAATATACCGGTATGACGGTCTACCACGATTTGAACGTGCACGATTATCATACCATGAACAATTGCATATTAACGGTTTTAACCCTTAAAGACCGAGACAGCCGCCCGCGGCTAAAAATAAGTATTGCTCTTAAATGTTTAATAACTTTTGATCCGCTGATCCGATTCATACAATTCAAAGATTGGCATAAAGAAGAGAATCTCAGCTTTCCAGTGCTGTATCACATAACATCGCGGCTCCGGAGGCTCCGGAATCAGTGCGGTTACGTCATCAAAATTTGACAACGCTGATTTGACAAAGAAACGCTCGTCACTGTGTCTCCGGACAAACCAGACACGATATATTGATGCATAGTCCCTCCTCCATGCCCAGATTGGTTCAAACTCACTATATCACAACCAATAAGCATAGGTTTCGCTTTTGTTTGTGGACAAAAAACGAGCTTTTTAAACAACACGGAATGAGAGATGGGCATACATTTATGCGCGGCTAAATAAAACGCAAAAAAAAAAGTTTTGCATGAAATAATTCTCATACTAAGTACTTTTGCATGCACAGCAGCACAGAAACATGACAAAACAGTGACACAGCAAAGACGAACTGCTGCTCTTGCTGTTTTCAAAAGACGCAAATGAAGATGCAGCTGTTTGTCTGCATTGCAGACAACCATATCCATATCCATAGACAACCATATCCATGCTGGCACATAAAACCTAAGGATGTTCCATATTGAATCTAGTTTCGTTATGTAACTATTTATAGTATAGTAAATATGTATATCTATTTTTTACTGAGGATTTGCACCATGTTTATTTGGACTTTATTTGGACTTTGACACATTATTTATTATTTTCTTATTTTTTTTATTTGTTCATTGTAAGTGGTGTTGTTTATAGTAACTGAAAATATATTATTTGGAAAAAGTCAAATTTGCTTCACTGTTCTATTATTTTGTAACATTTGTAACATACCGTATACCGCGAAACCGTCAAACCGTGGTATTGTTTTAGACGATTATCATACCGTAAAAAATTCAACCCTATGTACAAGTAGCTCAAACTTGCTCATTCAGAGGCAGGAACCGGCGGATGTGCAACAACTGTAATCATAAGGTAAACGCAAAACACTTGAAGCACTTGAAACACTGGTTGGTTTAGTTATGCTTGGAGCTGAACTCTGCAGGAAGATCTCCTGGAACAAGATTGGACACTCTTGCTCTAGTACCACTAATAACCATTTGTGTGCACGTTGGTGATGACCAACCAACAAACCACAAGGCTGATTTGGCAGCCTCAGGGCATCCACTTCACTGAAAAGAAGGCTCTCTGCTGATTTGGATTTTAATTTCTTGATCAAAGTGACCCCTGATCAAGGTGATTCTGATATCAGGTGTTGATTCATTTATTAGTGTCTGCATCGTTAGCTCAGTACTTCTCTTAAAATGTAATTTATTCACTTAATTTTCAGATCTGATGGTGAAGGATGAAAGTGAAGTACTGAGTGAAGATGAGGAGAAACATCAGGTCAAAAGTGAAATCAAAACTCGCATAAAGATGGAACATAGATCTGTAACTGAAAGAACAGCCTGCACTCAGTGTGGAAAGAGTTTCAGCCACAAATACGATCTCAAGCCTCACATGAGGATCCACACTGGAGAGAAACCATTCACGTGTACTCACTGTGAGAAGAGTTTCAGACAATCATCATCCCTCAATCGACACTTGCTGATTCACACCGGAGAGAAACCACACAAATGCGATCGATGCGGCAAAACATTTTTGATTTCTTCAGACTTGAAGAAACATCTTAGAGTTCACACAAACGAGAAGCCTTTTTCATGCTCCGTGTGTGGAAAGAGTTTTACACAGCAGTCAAGCTTAGGAATACATCAGAAGATCCACACTGGTGTGAGAGAGCATATGTGCTTTGAGTGCGAGAAGTCTTTTATTACAGCTGGAAACTTGAAACGACACCAGATGATTCACACTGGAGAGAAACCGTACAAGTGTTCACACTGCGAGAAGAGATTCAGTCAGTTAGATGATCTGAAAAGACATGAGAGGATTCACACTGGTGAAAGACCGTTCACATGCACTGAGTGTGGAAAGAGTTTTAGACAATCATCATCCTTCAATCGACATACAATGTTCCACTCGGGAGAGAAAACACACAAATGTGAATAATGCGGCAAAACGGTTTTTAAGAGCTTCAGATCTGAAGGAGTTCATACAAAGTAGACGTTTCAGTTATGTTCTCATTGTATACACATCAGTGAAATTTACCATAGATATATACACTAGATATCGCATAGAGACCCTGAGCATGCGTCAATAGCGCCGCCACATTGGTACAGTGCTCCCAGGACAAATGTCATTCAACCGCACTAGACAAGACAGTGTTATTACGTGAAGATGCAGGACTTAAGCGCTGTCTACGGGTGTAGTAACGAGCAAACAAAGAAAACAAAGCACAAAGGCAGAACATTTCATAGGTAATATTAACTTTTTTTCTGTTTTTGGCTGTTTTTGATTAGTCACTTACTGCATTTACCATACGGCAAAGCAGCTCCAACTCGCACAAACACTCGGCTTATGCTAGTTTTGTTGAATAAAATCAGCAAACAATGCAAAAGAAATATGACAACTAGATGCTGCACTGCCAGAAACTTGTATTATTATCGGCTAACGTTAGTGAAAGAGTCGTTCGGGGGATTCATTCACAAACGAATCGCTCTCTCCGTCAGTATGAGAAGTGAAAGCAGGAGAGGAGCTGTGTTTCAGGACATGATTAGATCAAATTTAACACAGAGGGTGAATAGTACATTTCTGTACACACAAACACAAGCTTTATGTCAGGAATGCTCGTGCGGTCACTGATCCATCAATGTAGAAAAGTGATGTAAAATTATAATTTTCGTAATTAGGAAAAAAAAATAGCATACTAACATCCAGGAAAACTCCCGATCACAGATATATGTGTATATGTGTATATCTCTGGCTTTGCATGGCCACAGTCCTCCACTGTACCTTGGTCCCGCATTTATTTCAAAGGAGCGCTACCCTGTAGCAAGATGGCGGCGATATTGACGCATCCCGTCCAATAAACAACAATAGGCCAGGCGACATCTAGTGTATATATCTATGGAAATTTACCTTGCTATAAATGGGAATTCCATGCATGTTGTTTTTGGTTAATGAATTGTGTTAATCACAATTCGCATTTATACATTACAACTACTAAATTAGAGTAATATTCATTGATTTGATTACAGAATGCTTCATAAATGCAAAAAAAAAAAAAAACGCTATGCCTAAAATATATTCGGCTTACAGAGCTTCTCAGACTCTCTTCTGTAAATGTCCAGCTTGTGGTGCTTAAGATGCTTTAGATCAGAGGTGGCCAACCCTGTTCCTGGAGAGCCACCTTTCTGCAGATTTCAGTTGCTACCCTTATCAAACACACCTGAACCAATTAATTAGGACCTGAACACTACGTGATAATTACAGGCAGGTGTGTTTAATATGGGTTGCAACTGAAATCTGCAGGAAGGTGGCTCTCCAGGAACAGGGTTGGCCACCCCTGCTTCAGTGGCACAGCCTTTTCCAGATGATTTGGCTGCAGTGATTTGGAGTTCATGACAGTAACGTAGGGGTGGCACATGATCTCGTATGACGAGATCTCACGAGACAAAATCGCGACGAGATTTCTCCTCGTGGAAAGTTTTGGATGTTCTTTGGCTCCTAAACACCTTTAAGATGCCATTGGTCAATGGCAATTATGCAGTTGGTGGGTCTGTTCTGGACTCCACCTCATTTGAGTTGCTTTATATTCATGGATTTCAGAGTGAGAGAGGAGAACATTTAGCACAGTGGTCACCAAACTTGTTCCTGGAGGGCCGGTGTCCTGCACATTTTAGCTCCAACCCTAATCAAACACACCTGAACACGCTAATCAAGGTCTTACTAGGTATACTTGAAACATCCAGGCAGGTGTGTTGAGGCAAGTTGGAGCTAAACCCTGCAGGACCGAGATTGGTGACCCCTGATTCAGCACATTGACTCAAAGTTCGAATCATGAATAGTTAAAAAAATAAAAGTAGATGGGGAAGTTTAAAGCTGGTCTCATCCCATCTGTGTCTGAGCCTCTGCTCGTGGTCCATCTG